GTCTGCAAATAACTGTGCTGTTTGCTTTGATGAATAATGTATCCCAGTGATGAAAGATGATGTGTTAAGCTCCGGGGATCAGAGAGACCACTTGGTCAGTGATGAAATATCCCTTGTGTTTTATGATGGATTTAATTGTGAACCGATATAACTTAGAAAACTGTTAAAAATCATGGAGCACCAGAGAGTTGTTATGCTTTAGTATGGAATTTTTCAACAGCGAGACCCACTAGCTTACCAGAGGTCAGAATGAAAACGTCCAGGTTACATAGTTAACCCTTTATCATTCATCCGCTAGGTCATAATGTTAATACCCTATGAATTTTAGCTTCTGTCATTTTATCATAAAAAGAATACTGCCCCTCCAGTATCATCAGTTAGGTGGACCCCACAGGTTAGAAATTCCCGCCAAAAATATTAAAATTCTCTAAGATATACAGATTTATATACTGTGGTAAAGCTAACAGTTAAAGTCAAATGCATGCCACCAAGCTTTTACTCAGTATGTATACGAAACCTTTTTATTAGTGAAATCTTAGGTCTTTAGGTTCTTGTGTTATCCACATGGAACAAGCTGGATTCAGGAAAGGTAAATTATGTGCTGATCAAATTAGAATTCTACGTGTCTTCGTCGAATAAAGCATAAAATTGCAGTCAAACCTTTCTATACCTCAAATTCATCGACTTTGAAAAGACTTAAGATAGACAGTGTTGTCCGAGAAGTAATTTGGAGACTGGTTTGACACTATGGTGTACAGTGCCCAAGTCTTTATCAATCTTATTCCACAGCTGGCCATGTGACAACGTCACGTGTGGGGTGATCCACAACAGGAAACTGATTGAGTCGTCTGAAGTGAATACAGGAGTTAGACAAGGTTGGATGTTTTAATTATGGTGGACTGGATTATGCATCAGACTGTGGGGGAGTGAGGAGACAGGAATGCGTTGGACAGCCAATAGAAAGACTGTAAAAGACCCAGATTTCGCAGATGATGATGATATACGTCTAGTGTGACACAAACTCGAAGACGTGTAAGCGAAAACCAACAAACTGACAAAATAGGCTAATAGTGAAGATGGGATTCTAGGTGAACATAGGGAAGCTGCTGTTTCATCCTAGTTTGGGAATCATCGGCAGTACGCGCCCACTGGGTTTCGAACCCAGGACCTTCCGGTTACAAGGCAAGCTCGTATACCATTCAGCCACTGGGACCCGATTCAATGGCTCGTGAATTCTAACTTCTACTAATTCGTGATTTAGCGCGACCCCAACCATTGTCGTTAGTGGGACATCCATCCACACACGTGACATCTAATTGGACCTCACTGGTCACGACTTCTCACTAGAACTCAGGAAACTCCAACCTGTAGCAAGTCACTAGCGAGCATCAGATCAACTTTCTATAGTTTTTGGTTTGTAAGGATTAGTTACGAGCCATTGAATCGGGTCCCAGTGTCTGAATGGTATACGAGCTTGCCTTGTAACCGGAAGGTCCTCGGTTCGAAACCCAGTGGGCGCGTACTGCCGATGATTCCCAAACTAGGATGAAACAGCAGCTGTCCAGTACTCCTTGCTGGTTTTCAATGGTTCTCTAACTGATATCAATCCGTGATCAACTCGTAAAACATAACTAATCCTTACAAACCAAAAAACTATAGAACATAGGGAAGACGAAAGTGATGAAGATAACAAACAAACTGCACCAGTCACCATCAACGGGAAAGATTTAACAGAAGTTAACTACACTTCACTTATCTAGGAAGCATTATTTAAACTGAGGGCGGAACGAATGATGTCAAAGTTAGCCGGAATCGTAAAGGCAAAATACGTCTTCATCAACCTGAAACCAGTTTAGAAACCTTCTGGTGTCATTCAGAAAAAAAGAACAAGATTCGAATTTTCAACACCAGTGTGAAGTCAGTCTTTCTATACGGGTCAGAATCTTGGCCAGCGTGTCACAAAAAGGATTTCTAACAGGTTGCGGACTTTAATCAACAGGTGTGACACCTTTGCTGCCTCCACACTGAAGACCAAATGGCTGGCCAGAAAGTATAAGTAAAACAGAAACCGTGGAAACAAGCCGACGAAGAGCCGATCGCTCAACAAATATGTAAGAGAAAGTGGAAATGGATCAGGCATACACTGAGGGGGTCACCGAATTACATCGCACGTCATGCCATAGACCGAGTGTATTCCAAGTAGGGAGCGACGAGTTGGTCGTCAGTGCTAGGGTGACATGGGGGAGATCGTGTGTTTTAGGAGGAGGAAGCTGCTACCTTGACGTGGTGGTCGGGCTTGAACACCGCAATGACCTAATCAAGCTATACTGGCTGAGACTTATGTCTCTTGAGGTTCTACCATGCCAGGCAGGTTGTTTGGATAGCGGTTAAACAAAAAGTAGCTACCCCATCCAATACCATGATTCAAACAAATTCACAAAATTTCATGCCGGATCAGCCGTGGCCCGGATTAACAACGACCGCGCTTCCTGCTGCCGTGTCACAGGGCAGGAGTGATAAGTATGCTACTGAGGCACACCAAACAAAGAACAAACAAAAACAGGCCGCGTGTGACCGGCCTCAAGCAGTTGTCCCCTGGGCTCTGCGGTCACGCAACCAACTTCCATGGTGTGGGCAGCCGGGAAGTAACAAACGCCCTCACAATCCGAAATGCACACAAAACCTCTCTAATCCTCACTTAGGAGGAGGAGATGAGAGATTATGGTGAATCGTGAATGCAGTTGAAAAGGACGACAGAAATTAGAATAGAGTGGAGATGTGCTGTTTTCCACTCGGAACCCGCTGGAATAATAATTGTTATTATTTACTCTATTGTCCAAGTGTTTATTTCATTTTTTCCTCCGCGTTCCCAGTGGAACACAGGGCATCAAGCTAGTGGCTTGAAGTTTCTATAGCAGTGTTTATTTTACAGGATGGGGTTGCTAGCCTCATGGCCAACCTTTCCTCTTTCTGGCTTAGCAAGGTAAAGGAGTGCGTCGGCAAGGGATCGAATCCCGGACCATCTGCATGGTCGGCGAGCGTCCTAACCGCTATGCCACCGACTCACTGTTTATTTCATAAGTAACATTAATTTAAATAAGTAGTTTTTAGCACCAATAACCCATAAAGGCATTACCTTGAATTACTAAAACATCACAAGTTCTGGTATTAATTTAGAAAATTGGAAATATTTTTGCGGTTATTTTTTTAGTCAATTTTGAGAGAGTTTCCCAATGAAAATTAAAATGCAATAACCTCAGTCTTATTTTGACCTCTCAAAGCTGTTCGTTGCTCGATACAAGTCGATGTCTGAAATGTCACAATTGTACAACGATTCACAACTCAAATTACATAGTGAATTAAACCACAATACTGACTCTTCTCAGTTGGCTTGAGCATATGAGAAGAAAGTTTAATCATTCATAAAATAAGAGAGTTTTAGTAATATGCAAAGAAACAGGGACTTGACTATACTTGTTCAGTTAGACATGTGTACAATTTTTGGTGACTGTTACAGCAAAGTTTCTACACGGTTAGAAGTGCTAGAATAATAAAAGTTGGGCATTTTAGTTGGAGGGATTATAGATGGCAAGGCATAAAATGGACCCACACAAAAATCTGGGGGATCTGAACTTCATCGATAACATAGATGTGTCTGATTTCCCACAAACTGGAAGATGTGCAAGTGAAAAGCAACGAGTTGGCAGGAGAAGCATCCAGAGAAGATAGGAGGATCTTCCTTCAGGTGAACATAGATAAAAAAGAGGTGATGAAGATTCCTGGCCAACAGCAACAGCAGCAACGACAGCCAACAATCAGCCAGCACAAATGGAAGAAATCTGAAAGAAGCAACCTCCTTCACCTACCTAACTACTTGGGAAGCATTGTTTCAACTACAGACGGATGGAAGTGATGAGGATGATGGTGATCACGAAAGGAAGACAAGTTTTAATTACTTTCATTTCTGTGTGGAGATCAACAGCACTCAGGATCAAAAATAAGATCAGGATTTTCAACTCCAATGCAAAGCCAGTGCTACTATACGGATCAGAGGTTTGGCACGTCATAAAGAGCACCTCAAACAAACTACAGACCTTCCTCAACAGTTGTTTTCGTTCAATACTCAAGATCAGATGGCCAGCCAAAAAAGATCAGCAACAGGGATCTCTGGCAATGAGCGAACCAACCAGGAACCGATTGTGAAACAAATAGGCAAGAAGAAATGGAGGTGAATTAGCCATACTCTGAGGAAGCCATCAAGTGACATCACTAGACAAGCCCTTGAGTGGAACCCGATAGGGAAGCGGCGAGTTGGTATTCAGTGCGATGGTGGGGTGACTTGGAGGAGGTCATGTGAAGAGGAGATGAAAGCATGTGGACAGACTTGGAGAGGGGTGAAAAAGTTGGCAGAAAACCAAAAGCAATTGAGACACGCGGCTGAAGCCCTATGTTCCTCTAGGAATTAAAGGATATAATAATAATAATAGATGGCAAGTACCTTTGAAGGTAATATGCAATAGATTACTCAAATGTCAAACTTATTCTACAGGAACTCGTCATCTTTCTGACGCGAGACCACGTGTCCATAAATTACGAAGTTAGACATACAACTAATCCTGATATTACTTGGTTGATTGTGCAATCTATAACTCGTGCTTCGTCTTATTTTCGACTCGTTAACTGGAGATAGTTGCATTCCCACTGAGTGACAGTGTGGAAAGTACTTTGAGAATTAGAACGATGAGTATTGGTTAGAACTCTCAGTGAGGACAACCTGTTTCACTGTCGGTGGAGGAACATTTGCATGACAAGTCATGAAGTGTCTGTAATAGGAGTCACAGGACCCGGATATTTTCATGCAGTATAATCAAACTAAAGGCAATTAGAAATAAAATGAACGAATTCGACAAACCTAATGAATCCTATTGTTTACGTTTAAATAACAGAATTATAATATGAAAATATTCACAGAAACACCTACAGTTTTAAATAAAAATTACCTGAAACTTTATCAATTTCTCTATGATTATTTGATGTTTCGATAAAATTCGAAACATCTATTGAACATTGATCATTGAGCATTAGATTGACTGAAATGTCTTCAATACACCTTTGACTATGATTATTTTCTAACAGTTTTATTCGGTTTTGATGACTGTTGTTAGTATCTTCAGAATTAAAATCATTGGGCAATTGTTTTTCACAATCCTGGTGAAAATTTCGAAATGAAGCATCCAATGTAAAATTGTTGTGTGCTTGAATTACCTCCGAATTAGTTACATTAGTTGGGATACTGGTGGTGGTATACTGAAAGATATTATTCTCATAACAGTTAAAATTACGTTTAAATATTGATTCAGAATTGTCAAGTGATGTTAGCGAAGCCGATGGGTATGAGTGATCGCCTAACAATGATGGTAGTAATGCGATCTTATTGAAATCTGGTGAAGGCTTAGAATTCTTAGTGAAATAACCAGATAACTGACTGTTGGTTACCGCTGGATAGTTGACTGAAGGTAAAACGGGTAGATTGTTGTTCTGTGTCGATATCTGATGCGACAATAACGTTTTTGACTGTATCATGTCTTCCACAGAGTCCACTTTCATATTCATGCTTCTATCATTATGACTATTAGATGTAATTAACATTTGATTATATGCTAAAGGCGTGTTGATTGTCTGCTGACATGAATTCTGTGCTATTGCGGCCAAGTGTTTCCAATTTGTTGAATTCCAAACTGCTGGATTAATTAGAGGAATTAACGATCCCTCCTGATTTGTACCATTCAACGTTGTATAAGCTGACTTTGTGACTTCTTTGATTTCCTTTGATTTTAAATGACTTGTATGTCTGTCAATACAATCAGAAGTAGTTGAATAATCCGATACACCTGTCAACAATAGACTGTTTTCTAAATAGGCATGATTTTGACTCGACTGTTGTACATTCAATGTTTCAATATTATCATTGTTGTTGTGGTTGTTGTTTGACAATGGGAAAGTTTGTTTAAATTCATCAGTTTCTTGATGATTTTCAAATGATAGTTTACCATTTGATGAATAAAGACACCCAACAGATGACGATGTTGTTATCCATCTTGAGAAATTAGAGCTTACAGCCGCGGTTGTAGTAGTTGTAGTAGTAGGAGGAGGAGGAAGAGGAGGGAGAGGCCTGTTGCCATTATCATTCTCTGTAAATAATGACACACCTGGACCATTTGTCGAAGCGGGTTGTTGTGATTGACTAATTAGACTACCATTCAGGGGATTATGTAATAGGAAGTCGAAATGTGTGAAGGTATTATTGTTCCCATGTTCATAATTACTACTATTACTATTATTAACGTTGTTGTTAATGATGTTATTCGTTGTAATATGACTGGAATCTTGATAACCATAATTAAATTCACTGTGTCCAATTCCTGTCGATTGATAATTAATTTGTGAACAGAGTGTTGTAGAAGGATAAGGCTTCATAGGATAAATATTCGGGGTAACCATGTTACTTATTACAAGGTGATTACTTATCTCATATCTCAGATTTTTCTATTTTAATTTTGAAACTATGAGTAATAATTATTTCATTATAATAAGATTATGCTTGTCTCATTCCAGGTTTTGTAGGTGAGTAAAAATGAGCAGAGACGAGGTGGTGGTTATGGGAGGGAGGGAAATTTGATGGTTTCATCATTTATCCGCCTAATTTCCTTCTTCTCAAGCTCTTCAACACACACACACACACAAACAAACAAATATGAAAAAGTATCGTGTGCTGAATACTGCCGCCTACCAGAAAAATTTTTCACTACTCTTGTAGTGTAGTTCACCCCCAACAAAATTATCGTCTACTGTCTTCTCCTCTAGCTGGGTTAATACGCATTTATAATGTATTGGTTGACTGAGGGATGAAAAGAGTGAGGGAGTGAGAAACTTTCTCTCTCCCTACTCACTCACTCACTCACTCACTCACACATGAGTTGTATTCATTCAGTCAGTCAGTCAGCCTGCCTCCAACGGATATCAGTCAGTCAGTCAGTCAGTTAGCCAACCCTCATCCCTACCACCTAAATGGTGGCTTAATTTAATTTGATTGGCGATGGGGAATGAAAAAAAGTGGGTTATTGTTATTCATGAGATTTTGTTTAGAAATTATGATAACATAAATATTTTCATAATTGCATTAATCATTATTGATCGGTGGGGAGGGTGGTAATTATTAAAATGACAGAGAATGTGAAACATACTCATGATTGTGAGCAGTTAGATGTCTATTGTATATAATTTCTTTACTAGACTGAATCGATTTAAGTGTTGGTTTGTAGGGATTTGATTGATTGGTTTCAGGATTTCATCATGAGCTGACAGTAGTTAGAGAACCATTGGAAAACCTGGGAGTACTGGATAGCTGTTTCTTCCTAGTTTGGGACTCCTCAGCAGTATGCACCCACCGGGATTGGAATCCGGGACCTTCTGGTTACAAGGCGAGCTCGTATACCATCCCGATCCAATGGTCCTTGAATTCTAACTTCTGCCAATTCAGGTAGGTAGTTACCTGGGTTCCAGTGGGAAGTCGTGACTAGTATTTTTTTATTTTTTTATTTTTGGTTACAGCTTGATTCCACACTGTATTTTTGGTACAAGTATGGAATTTTCAGCGTGGATATCGGTAGCCCAAATTTTGCAGGCCGACCATAGATATCAGGTATGCGTCGGCGTGGGCTCGAACCTCGGACCATATGCATGGTCGGCGAGAGTCCTTACCACTGTGCCACCGACGCACAGCAGGTCGGGTGTGAGGACAAATACTTGACGAAGACATTGGCTAGCGGTCGCGTTATATCGTGAATTAGCAGAAGTTAGAATTCGTGGGCCATTGGATCGGGTCTCAGTGGCTTAATGGTCTACGAGGTCGCGTTGTAACCAGAAGGGTTCGAACCCTTGCGGTGGGTGAGGAGTACTGCTGAAGGGTCACAAACTAGGACGAAACAGCTGTCCAGTACTCCCAGGTTTTCCAATGGTTCTGTAACTAGTGTCAGCTCATGATGAAATCCTGAATCGATTTACTTCATACATACATCCAGTTTTCTTGATATATTTCAGTAAAGCAAATAGGTGATATTTGCAGAATAAATAATGTCATCATTCTACTACATTGGATTTCATCAGCTGCAGACCTGTAAATACAATGATAATAAAAGAGAATGACAACAACGTACTTCAATAAGATTTCTTTTTGTTAGGTCACATAGTGTTAATAATAATAATAATAATAATAATTTTCTGCTTTATTCCAGTAACAGTACTAATGATACAGCAAGGGATTTTCAGCATTCAGTACAATATTGCATCTAATTTACTCAAAAACGACAAAAAAATAAACATTACATAATAATAATAACAAAACGTTATTATAGCAGCTATGTAGCAAATTACAGTATGCGATACGGAGAAAATATGCATAAAGTATAAACTTATAGTAATAATAGTAATAACAACTAAAATAAAATAGCAGAGTAACAATTAAACGATAAAAAGGGTGATACACGAAATTACAGAAAGATGAACGAACGATGAAGGGTCGATTCACTTTACTAATTACATAGTAACTTATATGTTTCACGTCTAACAGTTTCTCCATCAAATAAATTACGGGCTAAATACGGTATTGTAGAATTTTTGTGCTTAGTGGTTCGAGTATATACCTTCTTATATTGACTTCTCGTCCTACTGATGAGATGCAAAGGGATAGTTGTTAATAAAAGGGGTGCGTCGGTGTATAGCGGTTAGGACGCTCGCCGACCATGCAAATGGTCCGGGGTTCGATTCCGGCCGACGCACTCCTTTACCTCGTGAGCCAGAAATAATGCTGTTAGAGAGGAAAGGTTGGGCATGAGGCTAGCAACCCCATCCTGTAAAATAAACACTTCTACAGAAACTTCAAGCCACTAGCTTGAAACCCTATGTTCCACTGGGGAATATGAAGGAAGACAAAAGGGGTGCAGGCGGTCTGACAGTACGGCCTTTGCCCATTGTGTACAGGAATTTATGTGTCTCCGACTATAGTATTGGCGAGCTCACGCAGTGGCATACCACAAGCCCTACTCACATCATTTAATACCCTTCGTAATATGATATATATATATATATTTACAGTTAATATTACTGTGTAACACTGTGTGACTTATCTATAATGGAGTTATACTCTACCACAGTGCCCAAGTTTTATACTTATAACATACTTCAATGTTAAAATGGTGGTCGGGAAATTATTATTATGAGTAGTTCATATAAAAACTCAACGAAATATATTCTAAATGCCCTCCAAGGATTGATATCGACGAGCAATGTTAGCGGATATAGGGTCAGACTAGAAAAAAGCTAGCGGCGGTCAAACAAAAACTTGGCATCAGTCAATGAAATCTACAACAGTTGGTCTATGCCACGTAGGAAGGTGTAGACTTCCAGGCTGGGGTCTCGGGACGGTAAAAATCTATGGTTGGAAACAATTGGTGACATGGCTCAAAATCGTTCTCAGTGGCGCAGATGCATCCACTCCCTGTGACTTATGATCTCCAATGAAACTGTTTTGTATTTCTTTATTACTCCTTTGTCTCACACCTCTACTCACTGTTTCTATTATGCTTTTCTTGTACTTTCTTCTCTTGCTTCGCGTGCTACACGGAATGTGGCGACTTGAACTTCCGCACATTTGTGCAAAGTTCTATGTCGAAAACAGAACCAGAGAACAGTTAAAATACAGGATGATTTGACTGGCTTCAAAGTCACTTGTCAATGATCGTAAGGGTGGTCAAACCGAGTCAAAGTAAGCTCTAAGCATTCTATCATTTCCAGTGATTATTAGATAAAAATCTGTTTTGTCTGTCAATGTTTTTTAATGTTCCCAACACGTCTACTAGGGAAACCTATGTCAGTTAGGTGTTTGCCACACATTCAAGGAATTTGGAATAGGCTCTTCTTTCTGTTTTCCCAATTTAGCAGCTCCCGCAGATACAAATTAACTGATATCCACACTTGGTGGTAACATATGAGAGGTGCTTGTAGTTTTTTTGACTGTACTAACGAGCTGGATGTTGCTCCATGTTTAAATTTATGTGTGTAATGGACAGTGCTTAGGCTTCCCCACAGATAGTTGGTAGGTTCAAGTATCACCCAGGATGTCATCACTCACTGCAGACACGTGAATTCTGCTGGGGGGTGGGTGAAAATAGAACGAGACGCCCATCGTGGCCTTCATTGATATCCATTGAAAACCAGGAGACTCAGAAAGTAACTTATCAGGTTAAATGACCACCCTGCTGGCATGACAAAATCAGTTTTATAATCTGATGAACAGAATACTGAGAAATCAAGTGAATCTTCACATAAATATGAGGCAATCTAAACTGGTATTTTTCCTTTCCCAATAACTTCCCATTATTATTTAATATTATTACTGTTCCCTTGGATTCCGAGAGAAAAACAAGGCTTCAGCAACAAGTCTACACTTTAATTGGTGGATGGTGACAAGAAGTGGAATCCAGAATAACGCTCATTTCTTCCTATTCGGGACTCGTCAGCTGGATGTACCTGCATTCCCCAGTGAGTAATGATGTTCCCACCGAGGCTTGAACCGAGTGCTCATAGTTTCAAACGCCAAAGCCCTATCCACTGGATCCCTTGGGCCATGAGAGCCACCTGTTATGCAGCGGGTCATATTAACTATTTAATTAAATTTTAGATTTTCCCGTCGATTGACTGATTGGACCGAAGTGCTCGGTATCAGGTTGACAAGTTGACTTCTTCTGCAGATGGGAAAATCTAAAATTCAGTTAAATAACTAATATGACCCGTTGCACAAGAGCTGGCTCTCGTGTCCCAAGTGGTCTATTGGATAGGGCTTTGGCGTTTGAAACTATGGGCACTGGGTTCGAACCTTGGTGGGAACATCATTACTCACTGGGGAATGCAGGCACATCCAGATGGTAAGTCCCAAATTGGATGAAATGCGCGTTATCCTTGATTCCACTGCTAGTCACCATCCACCAATTAAATTCTAATTACATGCTCAGACATTGTCGAAGCATCTGCACAAGAAGTCGACATGTTAACCTGAGACCGAGCAATTCGGTCCAATCAATCAATCAATGGGAAAATCTAAAATTCAATTAAAGTCAGATACTTTGTTTTATTTTCTGCTGTTCTGCTTAGTGGGGCACACTGTTGCCTATATTCTGTCACCTCCTCCCCCACATGATCTCCTCCATGTTACCCTCAGCCTCACTCCCAATCCATCGTTTCCTACTAAGGCTCCACTCGATAGCTTGTCGCACGATGTCAACCAACAGTCCCCTCAGCGTATTCCCGGGCCATTTCCATTTTCTTCTGGTTTCCAGGGTTGATTTGTTCAAATAGCTTCTTGTTGTTAATTCTTTCTAACTTGCCATTTGATCTTCAATATGGAGCTAACGAAGGTGGCAGCTGTTGATAAAAGTCTGCAGCATCCTGTTGGAAATGCTCTTCATGACGTCCTCAGTTTTCTAGTCGGTCCCAACCCC